AACAGCACCATTTTTTAGCTAATATTTTCCATTAAGACATAAAAAAAAGCTTACATAGCAAATGAAGCATTGTTTTCCTGAAAGTCTTAATGAACTATATTTTCTCATCCAAACTGGCTCCAAATACTTAAGCATGTAATACTGAGAATTTAAGCAATCATTCCTCATTCAGAAAAGAATGGCATTTTAGTCCCATTAGTGACACTTTGGTCTGCATAGTATCAAGTACGTGCTGAATTATGTTGCTAAACCAGAAACAGAGCAAGGTCCTCTCTTTGGTAGGTCAGGTATCAGTCGGAAACAAGTCCCTTAACCCAGACCTAAATGACTAGAAAGCTAAGAGTATTCAATAGCAGAATAAGACTTAGTGTGCTCTGTCTTACAGAAGACAGCACTGCCAGTGAACTACAACAGCTTAGGAGCTGCTTGTGGTAACCATTGTGTATCAAGGTGTCACTTGGAGATCTAAACCAGGCTAGAACAATTTTGCCAATACCATGGATTAGTAAACATACTGGTGTGTTTGTCAAGGGAGATGCAGTAAAGGTTAATTATTTAAATCTGACTTTAATTTCCCATGCTTCTATCTTGTTCCATAATAATAGCAATAAGTTCCACAGTAATAATTTGTTATTTGGACTAAAACTAGAGTCAGTTATGACCCACACTGCACAAGAAATAGCTTTTCCTCACTCCATATCAGCTGGTGTATGTAAGTAGGTGCATAATACTGCCCACTGAAACTATAGTTCATTAAATCACATTGGCTTATAAATGGCATATTTAGTCCCATGTGGGAATAGTCAGTGCAGATGACAGTTTCTCTCCTGTATCCCTTCATCCTTAACAGAGAAATATGTAGAAACTGTTTGCAGGTAGTCCCTTTTAAATTCACATACATCAGGAACTGGGGGGTGTGTATATGTGTGAGTGTGTGCAAGCATGTGCAACAAGAGACAGAGGGAGAGAGAAAGTCACCATAATGTATTCTGCAGAAAAATGAAGTTTACCTAGAGACTAATAAAAAGATAATTTTGGCAGCATAGAAGTCCTGAGTGAGGTAGCTTAATGTTTGTATCTTTGTTACCCATATGGTAAAGTCTCAAGTAGAATATCTAAAATAGTCGTATCTAAAAGCCAGAAGAAGAAAAAAAACCTCTCCTTTAGTTCATATTGCATGGGCTGCCTGGCTAGAGGCCAGAGTCATGACAGCTTGCATTGTGGCAGGGAGAGCAGTGTGGCTCCCTGATCAAGGTCAGCAAATTTTTAATGAATGGAGCTTGATTACTGCTCCCTTTGTGGGAGAAGGTTGTTTGGAGGTGAACAAGGCTCTGTGCACAGAGGTATTCCACACACACCCTCCTTCACTCTCAAAACCAGACGAGCTGGAGGTTTCTCCAGTACAGTTTCTCACAGCTGGGGAAACAGGCACAGTAGCTCTGTGAACTGAGGCTGGGGCATCCTTATCTCAGTGTGCAGCACCCACAGTCAATAGTCACTGAGACCCTGGGAACAATTTTACTGTACCGTTTCATCTCATCTCCTGCACAGTAGGGTCCCTCAGCTATCATAAGGTTTGCCCTCACAAGGTTTTGTGTTCCCAGACCCAGGATTGCAGGGCTACTGGGAATGTTTTCCTGGTTTGGCATTCAAATCCAAGTCTTGTCCCTCTAAGTCATATATCGAGTTTTCTAGGACATCCCCTTGTTACAGAATGGATTTGGGGTAAAATCGGTCCTGCTGCAGTCTCAAAGACATTTTGTGATTTGGGATTAGCACGACAAGAATTTCAAATGTAGGTTCTTTCCAGAGGAGGGGTCAAAAATGGGCGAGAAAGTTGAGTTTCCAGTATTAGGGGTTGTCATAAGAGCTACAGCCTTACAGAAATGTCAAATTCCTGAGAATGCCTGTGGGTCAGGACTTTCCAGTAAGCTTCTCCTCTGGAAGCAGATCTGCCTGAAGACCAGATGACAGACACCAGAAAGCAATGCTTGTTTACATACTCAGAGTTTAAAATAAGATATTTGCAATCACATTTATGTTTAAAAAAGGCTTTCTGAAAGTTCTTTGTGAAGAGACAGCATCATTTGCTTTTACAAAGTAGTAAGCAGAACCTTTTCTCTGGTATTCATAGCCTAATTGGGACATACTTTCCAGCATCTGTGAGCAAAGATGTTTAAAAACAGTTCTCTACAAAAATAAAGTTGTAAAACTATAAAGCATTTTTTATCTTGGCAGACCAAAAGAAATTTTTTTCCAGTAAATTTTTTCAGGAAGACTCTGACATTCCCAAAAGTTCATTATCTTGACTGTTTTAGGAAGGGGTTTTCTTTTTGCCTTTAGTCTTCTATTGATATTGAGAATTATTTTGTTTGTATCAATACGGGGCTATTTTTTATCACTCCATGCATAGATACTAGCTCTCTTATTGACCTTTTTAACTAGGTTTTGCTTTGAATAAAAAAGTAAAGGATTTTCTTGTTTTAAAAAGAACAGCTTCAGTGTTAATTTGGATTCCAGCCAGTGGGATTTGTAATCTAATTCTTACAAGAGAATCAGAGTTTTGATATTAAGAGCTGAAGCGCTTCATTGTCTATATGGAGCATTGTTGTAAAATCAGGAAGTTCTAAACTATTTTTTTTAACTCTGTATTTTCCTGTGTCAAAGAGTTAAAATATGTTCTTTTCCTGCTTGCTGTTGATGAGGCAAGTATTTCCTCACCCTTTGCTGTAGAAAAGAATCATGCATATTTGATGTCTTTCTCCTTTTCTCCTTAATATTTCAAATAATTCAGCTAGACTATCTCCATCAATTGGGTGAATGGAGCTGTAACACCTACTTAACAGAGGGGAGCCATCTGGTTTCCTTGCAACTTGGAGCCTGCTGGCAAATGTTAGGTTGTACCAATTTAGAGCATGATGAAGTGGGAAATAATGGACATTCTTGAAGAATCTGAAATGGGATCAGCTGTTATTGGTAAAAATTGGCAGGTGCAGTGCACTGTGCTGGCTGTAAGCATGGTCTCAAGTTGGAGAGTGCAGCTGGGAAAATGGCCTGCTAATTGAATGGTTGCAGGACTCCCAGCAGCTCTGACAGTAGTGCAGCATCATTAATTGGAGGCTCTTCGTTGACTTGGTGGAAGCTGTCACAGAATGAAGAATCCTGCTAGTTAATGTTTACTTTCTCAGTGTTAGTTTATTGCCTGTTACTCAGAATGAGTACTCGTGGAAGGGCTCAGAAGTACTGGCATAAGGCTGGCAACCTCTATTTCTTATTTATATTTACAGCATGGTGACAGCGGTTGGGAGTCATAAAAGTTACTCAATTACACATTTGTTTAACTGCACCATTCTGTTGTTATCTTTCCCATCCCTCTCTTTTTCCCGTTTATTTTCAGTTGTATTAGGTTTCTAAATTGGCTTGTCTTGGAGCAGCAACTATGGGTTTTTTTTTTTTATTTAGAGCCTAAGAAGACCTTGTCTTCGACTGAGGTTCTTGGATGCTGCTGTAATTCATACAGTGGTTATAGAAACAAAAATAGCCTGGTTTTGGTCCAGAATAGTATTACATGCACCTCTGGTTTATGTGGGTCTTAGAATAGCTGTGTATGCAAAAGCACGTATGTGTTATCAGTGGCTTCCTTTTTCATATGTTGTTTTTATTCATTAAATGCAAACATATTGCAGTTCATCCTAGTTTAATATAAAGGTCTGTTGGTGAAATGTGGCATTTTCCCTCAGCTGTTAGCACCCCTCAAGGGAAGATCTATTGGCAATGAGTGCTGTGCAGAAAGCACTGCTGACTTCAGAGTGCACTTCATATATCATCAGTGACTATAGCACCCCTATGCGCCTAAAAACTCTCCAGCTACATAAGGTGTAGCTTTCCTGTATGAGTTATGGTAGCTAGGAGTCAAAAGTGTTCAATGACAGGGTCGTCCCACCCAGCTTGCCTTTTGGATTTATAGGCACAAGGTTATCTGTGAGTGTGAACTGAAGGAGGAACAGTGGGATGAAAAATGGTCTGAATGTTCTGGTGCTCTGCTGTCTCCATGGGCTGTAGACCAAGTTTTAAACCCTTTGGAGGACTGATGAGACCAGTTTTTCAAGGTGGACCCTAAGAAATTCTTCCAGTGGCCATCATGCTCTTCCCCAGTTGAGGTGATTCAGCTGGAAAAAATGCCTTCAGTTTGCATCTGCCTTTGGATAACCTGTGTCCATTGAGAGGCAGGAGATGAAACCAGAAGGTTTTGGAAGCTGTACCTCTGGATCAAAATCCTGCATGGCAAACATCAAGCACAGGCCTATGATGGACCCGGGAATAGTGAGACATTGTTGAAGAGGCTCCTGACTCCTTCCCCTGGCTCTGCTTCTGCAGCCTGGGACAAGCTATTTTGGGGAATGCTCTTTTTCTAAATACCGCAGCTTGATATGCACCAACTGGTGGTGCATGGTTCTAGCCTAACTCTCCTGGATGCTTATACTGCCTCTCTTTTGATTTTCCTGGCATTAAGAAGTGGATGGAAGTAACTCACCCAGCCTCAGAAAACTAAGTAAATTGGGCACCACCCCAGAGCTGGACAGTAACGCTTGGCTTGGGGCAGGTTTGGGGAAACAAAATGTGCTGGTGTGCCTCCCGGAGACCTGCCTGGCTGACTGAGAGATGGCAGACATGATGAAACCAGGCTGGTTTTAGGACTTGTCCCAAGCATGCCCTTTGCCAGGGCAGATCATCCCTGCCGCAAGGCCTGCAGGCGTGGAGGCATGCACGGCACCCCAGATCCCACTCTGCCCCAAGGGTTAGCCACCATATTTCAGTGATCTCCTTGCTGGCCCCACATCTGGGACTGGGGTAGGCTACCAGGAAAGGAATGTGGTGCTTTGGGGAGGAGACCCCAGGCAGGTCCAGCAGGTGCCATAAGCAAGCTGTGATGAGCTGTTAATGTCCCCCCTTCTTTTATTTTTTTAATCTTTTATCTTTCCCTTTTTCTCCACACACAGCTGAATGAATCCGCCAAGCAGCTCATCGAGATGGACAAGACCTGCTCAGCTGCTGCCTCCGGCTGCGACATGCCACTGCCGACAGAGACGGCGGCAGTGGCAGCATCAGCAGCGGTGGGTCTGGCACCGTGCTCCACACTGGCTGGTGCTGGGGCAGCAGGGGCAGCCCAGCGGCAGGCAGAAGGCAAGAAGAATGCCAAGAAGCGCCACTCCTTCACCGCCCTCAGCATGACGCACAAGTCCTCCCAGGCTGCCAGCAACAGGCACTCCATGGAGATCAGTGCTCCCGTCCTCATCAGCTCCAGCGACCCGCGGGCAGCTGCCAGGATTGGGGACCTGACTCACCTCTCCTCCAGTGCCCCAGCCCAGGTAAGGCAGGGGTGGAGGTGGGTTTTGGGCTCCCTTGGTGGATGGCACGTCATTGCCTCACCTCTTTCGAAATGCCTGACCCTTGCACGAAGCAGTTGCACAGTGCTGTCATCCCAATGTGATGGTACTTGGCATATGTTGTTCCCATTCCTGCATTAATCAGTGGGCAGGTGTGAGAAGCTGGAGGATAAAGCCAAATTTGATTCACAATAACACAACACATTTTAAAAAAGTAATCCTACAATTTGTTCAAAGTAATGTGGCTTATGTTGCATCCCTTTCTGTTGTAGAAAGGAATAATTTTGAGGGATCCTGTTACCCTGAATATATCTGTTACCCTGTAGGGTAGCAATGTCGGTATGAAATTCACACACTGGGGATAAAAAAGATTTTTGGAGTAATTATTTCCCTACAGATCACTGAAGGATGAGCAAATGTGCCGTACTGTCACAAGTGCTGTTACCCAGCGAGTAGCTGCTGTTCAGAAACACTTCAGGAGTTTTCAAACCATCAGACATGCTGAGGGTGCAGTCCCCCATTCTTCTCCCTCTCAAAGGAGGGGGCAGAGAAGCAACCTCCTGTACATCCCCACAGGTCCCAGCAGGAGCTTCTGAAAGTCTGCTTCTTGGGGTCTGAAAGAAACAGGAGACAAACACACCAGGGACGCACTGCAACCCCTTGAAAACAATTGCTGTTTCTGTGGCTAAGGGAATCCAAGTGGTGACTTTCAGTCTGAAGGCACAGAAGAGAATGGAGGATAATAGTCCCAAACGTCTTCTGCCTCAGCCTTCCTGATCAGTCATCTACGCACTTGGTGTGCAGATTAGCAGCAACGAGTTCCCTCTACAGACCAGCTCCTCATGGTATCCACTGCTTGCTAGCACCGAAATAACCTAATTGTGGCAGGGTCTTCCTACCCCTTTTTTCCTCTACTGAAAAAAACAACCCTGCCCTTTACCTCTCCCTGGCCATTCCTTTCTGCTCCTCGCACCCATATCGGGACAAGTGAGGATCTCTTCCAGCCCCTGCAGTGTCCCAGTGCAGGAGGTGATCCATGTTACAGCCTCTGCCTGCACTGGTATGTGTACAGACAGCTGGGAGAAGGCAGCACGTGAAGAGGGACAAGCAGCAAACTGCAGGGACTGCCTTGGGCAGGAATGCCTGTTTATTGCAGTGCTGGTGAGTCTCCCCTGTGGGACTGGTGTGGTGCCCCAGACTGTGGGGTCACTCTCGACAGCTGTACTGTACTGACACCCATGACATGAGCCCCCAGACCCCTGCAGCACAGGTCTGCAAGGACACTGAGGAAGGCAGGGTGCCTGCACGCATGCCGATGTGTGCCACAGGGCCAGCTGAAATGGCAGGCTGAGGGGACACTGCCATGGTGGAGCAGCACCCTCTGATCCCACTTCAGCTTCTCACCTTCCTCCACTGCCCATCCACATATAGGAGACAAGAGTGGCAGCTCGGTCCAACTGTAATTCAGCTCATTTTCTTCCACACGCCTTTTCCAGGCAGGGTGTCTGTGCCGTAAGGTGTTCCACTTCCTTTCAACCCTCAGCAGGAGGATGAAGATGAGGATACGGCCCCCACACAAAGCAGTGCGTGTGCCAAGATATACTGGGACATCTGTGAAGCAGCACAAGCACTAAACATGAGTGAGGGTCCCAAGCTTGTCAAGTAAATGACACCCAGGTTTTTGGCACTCAGAGTGACACATTTGGACTTTACAGAGTGACAGACTGTGGCTTTTCTGTTCTTGTGCTAGTCAAGGGAAAAACCATGTACACCCTTTGCTAGACTCATGTGGAGACTCATTCTAAGCTAGTAAACCACAAAAATTAGACCATGAAGCAGGAAGTGCCTTGACTATTCTCCCCTATCTTAGCACAACTGGTGTGCAAAACTCCAGTCATTTCAGACTTTTGTGGCATTTGGACACAAGTGGTAGTGGACAAGAAGGGCTTCATGTTCTCTGTAACAAGTTATGGTTATCAAAACGGATAGCAGATGGGAAGACATCTAGTTGTTGTCATGATCGGAAGCGCAGCTAGGGCTAGGGTATAATGAAGCCATTCCAGTGTGCCCATGGTGGGAACAGGTCTGGGAAGTGGTTCTTCTGCCTCAGGGCATAGAGCAGGGTTGCAGACAAGGGAGCTGAGCACTTCACCTTCACTGCCGGCCAAAACTGGCTTAGCCAAAATCCAGGAAGGGGAAAAAGAATCTTGGTGGTTCAGATCAACCTTACCGAAAAGAGGTTTCCCTCTGTCAAAACTGTTATTGCAGCCCAGAGACCCAGTCACCCCAAGCATGGCATCTGCATGAATGAATACATATCTTTGCTTTTGGGGACCTTACTATTTGCTTTCTGGTTTGAGGGATTTAAACATTTTCTTCTGCAAACTTTGCTAGGAATGTGGATATGTTGGGAAAAAAAAAGTGTGGAGCTGATGCTCTCACTATATTCTCTTTACTGTCAGAGCAGCCTTCAGAAAAAACGCCTTGCTGTTATAAGAGTAGCAGTAAAATCACACAAGCTACCAACATGAATTCACATGCTTTCAGCCTTCTTAGTTATGCCTACAAAGAGTCCAGAATTTGTCTCTTACAAAATGTACATTAAACTTGTGCAGCTATATTTATATTTCTATTAATCCCAAAATAATAGAGGTTACCTTTTAATTAAAAATGTCAGAAATTCAGTTCCTTCTCTGCCATCTGCTAAGACCTGACATCATTCTGAAGCAATGATGCTGCAGCCTTAGACAGAAAATCAGTTCAGCATTTTTCTTTTATTCACGTGGCTGAATGCCAGCTAAAGTAGCATAAACAAAGGGCCCCTGAGCTCTTACATCAAGACATTCAGGGCAGCGGGAATCTTGTCTTCAGATCATTTTGTTCTAAAAAGTGTTTGCCAATTTTAAGGTAAATGTCCTGTGTGTCTTGTTAGGGGTTTGACATCTTGACATCAACCTGTAAACTGACTCTACTGCTGCACTGGAAGAGCTCAGGGGCATTGCCAAGAGCATGGGCAAGTTGGTAGGGAAGATGTGCGTGTAGCTGCCGAACTTACTGGTGAGCTCTGCCACAGGAATATGTCTCACTTTTTCTTTCCTTGCTTGAAGAGGAACCTCTCTGCCCCGCAAGTCATCGTAACAGCCCTGGAGTGGTTCTCTCTGTAACCATCTCAAGCCCTGGCTAGTTTGCAGCAGCAAAGTCAGCCAAAGCGTATTTCTTATAGGGGAAACAATAAATTTACAGTTTCAGTGCTCACTATCTAGCAAATTTATGCCTTTCCTTTCACCATTAGAATCCAAATTTGGTTTATTGTGCCTTTATATCATGTCCTTGATATTTCCAGGCACTTCAACATTGTTTATTTAACAGATCTCATCATAAAAAGAAAGAAAGGAATTTTTTTCAGTTCAGTAAGTACCTTTGATACGTGTCAGAATTAGTATTTAGTTTGCAGGGGGTTTCTACTTTTTAAAAAGTTTGACACAGTTTTCATATCGCCTGTCCTTTGAACAAACAGAATTCAATTACAGGAGTTCTTGAACAGCATCCAGTCCCCTACCTCAGGCAACCGCCTGGTGCCCAGTGAAACAATCTTCTTAAAACAAGCATCCATTTTCCTTGTAGACCTGAGGTGCCTACATCTGGGACACATGTTTTTTCTCTGCTGACAAGAGGGTAAACAGAGATGCTGAAGGCTTCTTACTGTAGGAACTTAAAATTTAGGTGCAAAGTTTAGCTGTTTCAGTAAATGTGGAATATATTCCACGCCTTAGAAGTTATTTCATGCATAGTACTGTATTCCTGTGGCTTTTGTCAGTTTTTGTGAATTGAAACCAGACTTTCATGCCGAGCTGACATGTTTTTTGCTTTTATGAGTTGTTAGACTATTATAAGCCTCCTGCTTCTCCAGGAGGGCACAGATTTATGTGTATTGAGCACTGGCATGCAGACCAGGGTATGAAATCACATGTTTTGAAAGCACTTCTGCATATCATTAATTTAATAATTGAAGACTACGGGCCTTCCATAACATATTCCTTGTTCTTTAAGCAGAATCAACTCAGCTGTTTTCCAAAGATCCCAAGATGCATTTTAAATGAGTGATGGTCTAAAAAACCTTGTCATTAACTGCAAACCTAGGGATGCTCAAAGGTAGAAGAATCAACTTCAAGCCACTTCAGCTAGATAAAGTAGTGGCTGGAAGACCACAATAGCCAAGATACAAGGCATTTGTTTTCGAAGAGCCAATGCTGGGGTCTTCATTTCACTTGCAGCCAAGTTTACTTCTTGCATGCTTTTTGTTGCACGCTGAGTATCACTCACTAAATGTAAGATCTTCATCTAAACAGTAATATGGTCTGTCCATCATGCAGAATGTCCCATCATGCTGGAAAAACGGATTTTTATTGAAGATGTAAATAGTGCTGTAGGTCTGTGATGGAGCTAACGCTGAATTAGGTTACAGGTGCAGAGGAACAGTTCGTAACTGAAACTCCCTGGGGAGCAGGGAAGGTCCCCTGACAGTAATTGTGCCTAGGCCTCAGATGGCTTCTCTTGCTTCCATTTTCACCCCTTATGAATTATTCTTCCCTGCTATTTGGAAAGGTTGTAGGTCAGTACTGTTCCAAATCCCCTGGGTTTTGACAGAAAAGCATCTCATGAATAATGAAGTGTGCCTTTGTGCACACCAGGATAACAGCTGAGTGAGGAAAAAGGATCCTCCCTGCAGAAGAAACTTCTGTGTGTTTTGAACAACTCATCACCATGCACAAGAAGTCTATTTGTATCTGCAAGTGTTAGTACAGGCTCCTAACCAGAGGCCACATGTTCAGGAAAATCTGAGAACAATGTCTTGCACACTCCCAGTCCCAAAGAGTGACAGTATTTGAAATGAAAAATGTTCCTTGAAGTGTCCAGCTATATAAATCATTTGGAAGTGTGACTCCTTATCAGTCATTTAGAAGTGCTGAATTTTAGCTGAG